TTCCTCTGAATTCACTCCAATTTGGCAAATACATTTTTTAGATTTCAATGCCCAGGAAGTGGTACAGTATTCCAAGAAACTACCTTACAAAACCAGAAAACAGATGGACAATTACTTCCTATTATTTGATTCTGTTTTTCTGTTAATACATCCTAAAGTAGCATTTGGTTTTAAGTATCCACATGCTATTGGTTCATGTTTAACTTAGGGATCTTTTAGAACAGGGGTCCCCAACCTGTGGGCTGCGGTCCGCTATTGGGTCATGACCCGCTGGCACAGGGCCACGGGACAGGCTGGCCAACTGTGCACATGTGCGCACACTGCTAGCACCGCAGTGAAAACGAGGCAGCGTGTGGCAAAAATGGGGTGCCATGCGGCAAAAATGGAGCGGTGCTAGCACCCACGCTGCAAAAACAGGGCAGGCTAGCAAGTGTCATGCGGGCCCCGTTTGCGGTGCTCATGGCCCCGTTTGTGCATGCGCGTAAAATGCTTCCCCCTCCCTTTCCCTCCAATCTGCCAACCGAAAAAGATTGGGGACCTCTGTTTTAGAATACAAGATTCTTTTCACATGTACTAGTTTTAAGACAGGTTTCTAATCCCATGTATGTTTCTTTACTTTTTTTCTCTCCCCAAAGCCACAATTTACATTTTTCTCTCTTAAGATTCATCCTTTTCATATTAGCTTAGTATTCAATCTCTGCTAATGGTTTTTGAATATTTTATTTCCCTTCTAAGGTGTTAACTACTCTTTCTAGCTTTGTGTCATATTCATATTTCAGTCTCTTCATCCATACCACTAATAAAATTATTAAACATTCCACTAAATACTATTCCATAGTTTATTAGTTTTTTAAAAATCAAATATAATTAACCACCAAAAAGAAAAGTACTAAACAAAAAATATACAAGGTTGCAGGAGAAAAAATGAGAAAAGTTTATTTTCAAAACATTTATAATATGAATTAAGTAATCCATCAAGCCCAGTTGCTCTCTATTTTGTTTTTTCAATGATTTCTGATATTTCAAAAGTTGTAATGGGGCTATTCATAATTTGTTTAGGTGATTGAAAAAGTTTTGGTAAATTCTGTTTCTTCAAATATTCAGCAATATTCCAGGGAAATTTCCTGTCTTTTGTACAAATTTGAATAGAAATAATGGATTTCTAAATACTCACATTATCTCTTAATGCAGTATTGCCATCCTTAATCTTTAATATAGTTTTCTTTATCAATTTATATGCCTGCCATTTCCCTGGTTTATTTACAAATTCAGTTTTATTATGCTTCACATAATATAATTTAGTCTCTATTTCTGTCACAGTTAACATAGATAATTGTTGATGTAAAAGTTTAATTTGATATAAAATAGAAGAAGCTGTTGGTCTCTTCTGTAATTCATCCTCTTCCCTTTTAATTTCCTCTAATATATTCTCATTTTTTTTCTTGAATTTGTTTTTAACTCACAATTATATTGAATAAAGTAACCTGTAATTACAGGTTTACTAGTATCCTAAACACTTTTTTAAATCAGTACCTTTATCAAAACTGTTATAAAAAATTCTTTTAATTTCTTTTTGTAGTTCTTTATTTAAACTCCATCTAAAAGTTGTAAATTTTCTCTTACGTAATTAATTACGTAATCAGAGGTTTTCAGATTGTGATCAGAAAAGTTCTTAAGTAGAATAGCAATCTTGTTCACCAAATTCTTTGAAATCCATATCAAATCAATTTTTCAAAAAGATTTATGTCTTTCTGAAAAAAGACATGTTCTCTAGAATTTCCATTCTTTTATCTCAACAGACTTATTAGCATCATATTGTCCATTAAATAAAAAAAGAAAAAGAAAGAAAGACTTCGGTACTTCAGCTTAATTCCCCTGCCTGAAGGGAAGCTGTGGAAAGGCCATTCCATACAAGAGCGGTGACAGTTGATCCATTAGATCAGCGGTTCTCAACCTGTGGGTCGCGCTGCCTGTCGGGCGCAGCGCTGTCTCATCGGGCCGCGGTGGCAGCTCGAGGTGATCGCTGGCTCCTCGGCTCAAGCCAGCCGCTCGTCAGAATCTACGTCCCACGATTGTGGCTCCCTCATTGTGTCCCTCCCACACAGAAAGGGCATGGCTCTTATGTAGGCTTGCCTCCTCGCGGGGCTCCTGATTGGCCCTGCACCCGGGCGCCCACCCCCTGAGAAGTGTGGCCAGGAAGTCCCTTTCCCGGGGAACCGCGCAATCCCGGCGCTACCGTAGGCCCCGCTGGCCGGGAAGGCGCACCAGAGTCCCAGCTCCCGGGAAGGCAATCGGCTCGCTCCTCTCCCATTGCCCGCTCTGCCCGGCTCGTGCCTAGCTGGAGCAGCATTGGTACTTCCAAAGGTGGCCGCTTCAAGGTCACACGGGCAGCCCTCGGACACTCCCCTCCCCTCCGCACTTCCAAATCGATCCCCGATCGGAGAGAGAGAGGGAGGGAGGGAGGAAGGAAGAGAGGGAGAGAAAGAGAGAGGGAGAAAAAAAGAGAGAAAGAGAGGGAGAAAGAGGGAGAAAGAAAGGAAGGGAGAGAGAGAGAGAGAGAGAGCGAAAGAAAGGGAGGGTGAGAGAAAGAGGGAGAGAGAGAGAGAAAGAGGGAGAGAGAAAGAAAGAGGGAGAAAGAGGAACGGAGAGGGGGAGAGAAAGAGAGGGAAGGAGAGAGAAAGAGGGAGAGAGAAATAAGAGGGAGAAAGAGAGGGAGAGAGAAAGAAAGAGGGAGAGAGATTAAATTAGTAACATGGTTCTTAAGCAAAATTACAGTTATGAAGTAGCAATGAAAATAATTTTATGGTTGGGGGTCATCACAACATGAGGAACTATATTAAAGGGTCGCGGCATTAGGAAGGTTGAGAACCACTGCATTAGATATTGGGGGAAAAATCTTTTTATTGTCATTTGACACATAAGTCCAACAATTATAGGTAAAGATTTCCCTGTCCAGTCGTGTTTGATTCTAGGCGCAGTGCTGATCTCCTTTTCTTGGACAAGGGAGCCAGCATTGTCCAAAGATATTTTCCGTGGTCATGTTCATGGAACGCTGTTACCTTTACACCGGAATGGTATCTATTAATCTATTTGCATCTTGCATGCTTTTGAACTGCTAGGTGGGCAGAAGCTGGGGCAGGAACAGGAGCTCATGCCACTGGGCGGCACTTGGGTCTTGAATCCGGGCTGTCAGTTTTCTAGTTCAGTGTCTTTAGCTGCTCATCCATCACACTCCTTCCAACAATAATAGAAGCATAGAAAACTGACCCAGTGGTTCATCAAGTCTCTGAGTTTATTTGCTTTTCATTTTCTTTTTAATTAATTAATTATTTTTATTTACTTTTTTATTTTTGTCACATGATGGACCATGTGTTTATCCCAAGCAAGTTTAAATTCAGTTACTGATTATTTACTCACTACTTCTGCTGGCAGTTGGCTCAAAGCTTCCACTACTCCTTCTGTGACGTAATACTTTCTAAAATTATTTTTGAACTTCTCTTCTGTTAGTTTGAGATTATTCCCCCTTGTTCTTGATTTTTGCTTAATTATGAATTATGCATTCCATGCATCTCTACCTCTAATACAACATATGCATCATATTCGCGAGACAAGAAAAATAGGGTTTCAGTTGTGGTTTAATATACAAAACAAGTCCATTAGTCTTTTTCAAATCTGCTAATACAAATTCTACACCCAAAGTCTTATATTTCAAATATTTTACATCCTTTTTTTCCTATATAGGTTTCTTGCAAACATTCTGCTCTTCAAATCTACAAAATTGTGATCTTTTCCTAGCCATAGTTAATAGCACACTCTAGTGTCCAGAAAATGAATGGCAGCTAACAGCCTCACTGGAAATAGAATAAAGGGGGGGGAGTTCAAGGGAAACTTCTCCCACTGCTTTTATTTGTGAATCCACACTAGGCAGCACAAGGTCAATAGAAAAAAAAACACAATGTTCCCACAAAAGTCTACATTTAAAAAATCCAAGATCTGGTACCTTACATATAGATTCACCAAAAAGTAAATTTTAATCATCCATAAAATATTTTTTTCTTTCTTTAGAAAACAGCTGATAATCCAAACCTTCATCTTTTTGCTAGACAAACAACTCCCAATACCCATATCAGCTTTTTTATAATAGTGAAAATAATACTAAATTATAGTACCAAAAATACTGAAAATCTTCAAGAGGAAATATTAATTATATCTGGACTAAGGCTCTCTTAAACTGAAAGAATAATAAATTATAATAAAGTGATTTAGAAATGGGGTGTCAATTATAGTGTCCGCTTTTTCTTCTGTTGTGCTACAGCTTTGAAGTTGCTGTAAGAACCTGCCTCCCAGCTATTTGATTCACCAGCTGATTTTAAAAATCTCCCTTTCACAATCTTCTTTCAAAGAACAGTTGTCTGGAGGACAAATACATCAATTTCTGGGATTCCTTTTGATTCTGGAGAATTCTTCAATTTATAGGGATCTTGCCTGGGCCCCAATTCAATTGTTGCCTCATCTACAGTTCTGAAGGAGCTGCTCAAACCACCATTTCCCCACTAGAAGTGGTTTTAAAAAAAATCCCTTATCAGAATATTACACATTTATAATTTGCAACAATCTCTTTTTTAATCCTACTGATCTATATTCCTCCTCATATGACTGTTTTCATGAAATTCCAGTTTATTGTTAAATAGATTTGTGTTATGTCATTTTTTCTTATTTAAATTTACTTGTTGTGTTACTGATACATTACAAAGCAGTGTAGGATTAAAATACCAACTGTATGGGTTTTTCATTTATTTTAAAAGCAAAGAACATTTGATAAGTGCTGTAGTTCTCTAAATAAAAGTTTTAACAAAACAACAAAATTATTTTGTAACAATTTATACCTCTTGAAATGCCAATTCAATGAAAATTACATCAAAAATGAAAAATAATAAAGTTGTAAGGAAAAAAGAGATTTCTGAATGTTTAAATTAATTAAGCAATGTTGTTCTTTCTAGGGGTCCATTCAGTGTTGTGCGGCGATGTATCAACAGAGAAACTGGGCAACAGTTTGCTGTCAAGATTGTAGATGTAGCAAAATTCACTTCAAGTCCAGGCTTAAGTACTGAAGGTAAAAAAAATCAGTTGTTACCATATTTTATTCTTTTTTATTATCTTTCTGACAATTATGTCCCAAAATTTTATTGGGATTTTTTACCCCAAACAAATGCTCTGTTTGAAAAGTATGTCAATTACAGGTATTTTCTGCAAGTATTGACAAATTAAAGAAAATGAAAGTGATTAATACTGTTATCTTGAGTCCATTATCTATATCGGGTCACCAACCCCTGGTCCGTGGACCAGTACCGGGCCGCAGCATGCCACCAACCGGTCTGCACAAACAAGAAAAGCCCCATCTGCGGGATGCAGGCAGCACACAAAATCATGCACCCTCCGGTCTGCGGAAAAACCTCTCTCCACGGAACAGGTCCCTGGTGCCCAAAAGGTTGGGGACCTCTGATCTATATTATTTCACTCAGATTAATTATTTAACAAAGAAATCAAAGGAGTAAACTATTTTGGGTAAATTGAAGAATATTTTTACTAAATAATTGTATTTAGATGTGCTACTAATTTAAAGCTCTAAGGCTAAGCTCTGCCTTTTTTTGCTGCAATAAAGTGTTGAGTATCTAGTTTTGTTTTGTTTTTTTAAAAAAAAGATTTTTAGAGCCTGTATCTTGTTCATTGCTGGTTTATATTCTGCATTTGTTTACACTTTAAAAATCAAATGTAAAAAATACTTTTAATATATGTGTGCTTATATGTGTGCATTCTCTTACTAATGGAACATTTGGGGAATCCAGTGATTAACTTAGTTCTGTGTATGCCATGGTCAGAGGGAGGTGTTGATACAATTGTGTTTTTAAATTATGTCATGACACAGCTATTGAATATTATTATTTCTCAACAAAATTAATAATCATATTATATTTTAAAGAACTACAAATCACAGCTATTTATACTTTAACGATTTATATTTAGACAGTCAAACCATTCTCTTCTGGTAGTATAAGGGATTCTTAAGATTTCTGCTTGGAAGCCACGGTTCTACTACCGTATTTTCCGGCGTATAAGACGACTGGGCGTATAAGACGACCCCCAACTTTTCCAGTTAAAATATAGAGTTTGGGCTATATCAGGGGTAGGCAACCGAAAACACTCAAAGAGCCATTTGGACACGTTTCCCACCGAAAACAAAACACTGGGAGCCGCAAACCCCTTTTGATATCTAAAATGAAGATAAGACTGCATATATCCTTTTTTACCTTTATAATATATATATATATGTGTGTGTGTGTGTGTGTTTGTGTGTGTATATATAAAATAAAGGTAAAAAAGGATATATGCAGTGTTATCTTTATTTTAGATGTCAAAAGGGTCTCTCTCTGTCTCTCTTTCCTCTCTCTTTCCTTTCTTTCCTCTCTCTCTTACTTTCTCTCTCTTTCCTCTCTCTTTCTCTGTCGCTCTCTCTTTCCTCTTTTTCTTTCCTCTCTTTCTCTTTCCTCTCTTTCTCTTCTCTTTCCTTTCTCTCTTTCCTCTCTCTTTTCTCAATCTTTTTTCTCTTTCCTCATTTTCTCTTTCCTCTCCCCCTCTTTCTTTCTCTCTTTCCTCTCTTTCTCTCTCTCTTTCCTCTCCTTCTCTCCCTTTCCTCTCTTTTTCTCTTTCCTCTCCCCCTCTTTCTCTCCCTCTTTATCTCTTTCCTCTCTCTTCTCTTTCTCTTTCCTCTCTTTCTCTTTCCTCTTTCTTTCCTCTCTTCTCTTTCTCTTTCTTTCCTCTAACTTTCTTTCTCTTTCCTCTCTTTCTCTTTCTCTTCTCTTTCCTCTCTTTCTCTTTCCCTTTCCTCTCTCTCTCTTTCTCTTCTCTTGCTTTCCTCTTTCTCTCTTTCTCTTTCCTCTTTCTCTCTCTTCTCTTTCTCTTTCCTCTTTCTCTTCTCTTTCCTCTTTCTTTCTTTCTCTCTCTCCCTCTCCCTCCAGGTTAGGAGAGAGAGAGAGAGAGAATGAAAGGCAGACGGCGCCGAACGGGCGGGGAGGGGGAGCAGGACGGGAGGCAGCAGCTCCAGTGGCGGCGGCAGTGGCACGGCAGCAGCCACTGCAGCATCGTCGGGAGTCCACGCCGCCCCCAGCCTGGCCGCCGTGTCCTCAGCCGAACGGGCGTTCGCGTACTCAGCCGAATGGGGAGGGGGAGCAGGACGGGAGGCAGCGGCTCCCGGCTGCCGCCCCCATCACATCCTCAGCTGAACGAGCGGGGAGGGGGAGCAGGATGGGAGGCAACAGCTCCCGGCCGCCACCCCCATCACATCCAGGGAGGGGGAGCAGGACGGGAGGCAGCGGCTCCCGGCCGCCGCCCCCATTGCGTCCTCAGCTTAAAAGGAATAAAATAGAATACCCGTATTTTCCGGCGTATAAGACGACCGGGCATATAAGACGACCCCCGACTTTTGAGAAGATTTTCAGGGTTTAGAAAGTCGTCTTATCCGCCAGAAAATACGGTAATTGTAATTTACTAGGCCCAAAAAGTCAGAAAACATGATGAATGGTTAATAAAACCCTCAACTTTATATAAAAAGCAATTTCTACTCTGTAGATTCTTAGAATTTGAACAACATAATTGGAATAACAATGCTTACTGAGGATGATTTTCTTTGCTACACTGAGTACATAAAATTATGTACAGGTAATCCCCCAGGTACAAGCATTTATTTAGTAAGTTTTCACAAAAACAAGTTAATTCAGAAAGGGTACTTTTATTAGAAATTCAAAACTGCGACCAAGAAGAGGTCTCTGTAGCCATGTGACTTGATTTCAGTCTCTACTGTAGTGGCCATTTTATCTCTGTGACTTGCCTGGGCTGTTCGGGGCTACAAGAAGTCAGAAGGGGTTGTTGTTGTTTTGTCCCTGGTCACATGGCCAAACAAGAGCCAAGCCGGCACCAATTTTTGCTTTTGCTGCAATCTGCTACTGACTGGCCTTGAGTGCTACAATTACTTCTTTTAAGTATTTTAAAATATTTTAAAATATTTGTTTGCAAACAGTTTGGGAACTGCTCTGCTTGTTAAGTACTGTACTTTGTAAATTATTGTGTTTGCAAACTATTGAGCTTTTATTTGGAAATTAGCATATATTACTGTAGTTTGTAGGTTTTAAATTTAAATTGCCTCCAGAAGTTGTGAGTGCCCCATCACTAGAAGCTTTTAAGAAGAGACTGGGTAGCCATTTATCAGATATACACTCTTGTGAGAACAGTGGGTTAGACTAGCTGACCTCAAGGTCCGTTTCCTCTCTGTTATTATTGCAAGCTGAGAGTTCTGCAAATCCCTCCCCCATCTCCCTCTGGTTGCCTGGTTGGCTCTTAAGCTAGTGGTTTTTATTAAAGCAGCAGCCCCAACCCCACCCCTCTCTGGACAGCTGAAGACACTTGAGCTGGCTAGCAGCAGTGTTGTTGTTTTTTAAATAACTGATGGCTTGCAAGCCCTGCTTGGAGGCAATTTAGTTCCTGAGCCAGCTCACCGGAAACAGCTGATTGGCACTGGCAGGAAACCCTCCCAGTTCAGTTAGCATGGCAGCTATCTGAGGAAATAGTAAGTCAGATCTTTGTTCATTTAACAACCCATTTGATTTAATTAATTAATTTGATTTTAAAAATTTGTAAAATTAAGTCTGATTTTTGACATACGAACCTAATGGCCAGGCTACATTAGGTTCGTACCTCAGGGACTATCTGTATAGTATGCTTAGTCTCTAAATGATTGTTTGATATACTTATTGCATGTAAAGTATAATTATACAATAGTTTTGCTTATTAACTGAACAATAACTTTGAATAATAATATAATAGAAATAATTTAAATTTTACTATAAAAAAATATAAGCTGAGGACCTTAAGAAACCTGGAATTTCTTAGGTCTGACAATCATCAGAAAAGAGGTGAAGAAAGACTAAACCATGAACATAATAAAACAGTTATATATTCTGGCTTGTCTCCTGAATAGTTCATATAATAGCAAGAGAAGTAAGAAAAACAAGAGAAATCAAAAAGGCTCATTGCCTATTCAGTTTTATTTTAACTTACCACTACATTCAGTAGTCTTATTCTGAGAATGAACTTTTTAAAAAATCTTCTTGAAAGTCTTTTGATTTTAAAAAAAACTGAAATTTGCTAGTATTAAGACAAATCTTTACTCTTTTACATGAGAATCAATTTTCTATACAAACTGGAATGCTCTGTTGATAGAACTCTTGTTTTTAAAACAGTTTGGAGAAACAAAGGATTGGAATGAATGTGCACTTGTCTTAATAGATTCATTATTTTAACTTTTTGTTTACGTATTTTATTAATGTTTTTTTTAAAAAAATATTGGATTTTTTGTTGTTTTATTAGAGAAAATTGGGATTTTTTTTTCCAATTATGCCCTCACTCAAAAAGGATCTTCAAAAATATCAAGGGGTAAGACTGCCTTTTGTATGAGAGGAGAACCTGCAGGTTTTGTCATGGTTTTCTAAGTACAATTTAGGAAGATATGCTTATATATCATATACTACTTAGAAAGTTAATGCATGGTATGAAGAAAGTGAATATAATATACTTTATCTTCCATGTAACAACTTAAACCTGGGAACAAAATCATTTTACCAAAACATACAGTAAAGTCTAGTGTAGGTACAGATAATCTCCAAGTTGCGAACATTCCCTTAGCGAACTTACGCAATAAGCGCCCCTAGTGCTTATGAGCAAGTCCCGACATTATGAATGTTGCCGCCCCACAGCAGTCGTTCACCCTTACGAACGACCGTGGCAGAACTGCAACATTCACCCTGTTTATTCCCTCCCACCCCGGGTCTCCCTAGGCACTAGGCCTTCAATACTCACCCTGCGAAGATCGAGATCCTTCACTTTCTTGGCTGCTCGAGGCATTGGGTGCGTTCAGAGAATGGAGGCCTAAAGTAACAAAAGATCACGCAAGATCTGTGGTGCGAGATCTCATGCTACTGATCTCACGTGGTCTTATGATACTTTAGGCCTCTGTTCTCTGCAACAGAAAACAGAACCGAAGCTGGGGGATGCTTCCGCATGCCTCCTGAGGCTGGATCCAGGCGTCAGAGGCCTTTTGCAGAAACTGCAATGAAACAGTGGTCATATTAAAAGTCCTGTAGCTATCAGCCGCATAATAGTGTAAGTCCAGACCATATGATTTAAAGTTCCAATTTATAATAGTATTTGCAGAAGCAAAACAATTGCATCTAGTTGTTATTAATTTATTATATTTCAGAAGAATAAATTTAGTTATTAACCAGGTATCTACTTTTCCCAGATATCTAGTCAACATTGATAAACTTTTATATTCATTTGTCTGAATTTTGAATCAGCATCTATTTTTGTCTTTGCAAGCCCCATTTAAAGCAGAGGCCCCCAATCTTTTGGGCACCAGGGACTGGTTCCTTGGAGAAAGGTTTTTCTGTGGACCAGAGGGGACACGGTTTCGCATGCTGCCTGCGTCCCACAGATGGGGCTTCACTTGTTTGCATGGCCCAGTTTCTGGCATGGTACCGGTCCACAGACTAGGGGTTGGGGACCCATGATCTAAAGTATTGGTGGTCTCCCCCTTGTAGTCACTCCCAACCTTCAGAAAGCCACAGTACAATCACAGGAAAGGGATTTTTTTATTCAAACTATTCTTTGTGTTGAACAGTGAGTATGAGAAAAGTCACGGGGATTTCTGTCATTAAATTTCTGCCAAACAAATGACAAACAGCCGAAATTGCCACCATTATTCAACACCAAATAGTCCAATATTAGTGACATGAGTTGGATAATCTTTTTTTCTTTTTTGGGTGAATTTAAGAGTTGTTTGCCTTCCCTGAGTTTGCTGCTTCCATTCCCACCTTTTGCAAAGAAAGAAAGAAACAATACTATTCTTCCACTAAATTTGAGTAGCATGATCACAGAGTGCTGGAACTGCATTGAGCCATTGTATTTGATAATTGAGGTCATTCAAGAAAGTTCATTGGAGTGGATTCATCTCCCTGTAACTTAGGGTCTTGCTTTCTTTCCACCCATCGCAGAATTCTGAAATGCTATTCCTATTAATTGAGATGATTATCTATTGCTTTTTCTGAAACAAATTATTTTGAATAGGGGTTTACTTGGTATATTAAATTCTTTTTGGTTTAACAGATTAAAATGTAAATACTGTAGACTACTAAAAGATTTCAGTAGTCAGTGGCATCATTTACCGTTCCTGAAACAGGAATCCTGGACGTAATATTGTTTGTGTTAATCTGCATGTCAACATTTAATTTAGAATTTGCAGGATAGATGCCAAAGAAGGAGAACACCAACGGAAACTCTAGGACTTTAATAAAGCTTTAAAAAGCTTAATTAATAAGTTGCCCTAAATATTTACAGTATCAGCAGGATACGACCCAAGTCAGCTGGGTGAGCCCTAATGGCAGAGAAATTTCATGTTCTGATACTCGACTCATGAGGAAGCTGGGAAAAATATGTAAATCATACAAATCTTTTTCCCCACTCTCCCCACCCTTTGGAATCCTCACCTTAGTTCTGGGATAATTACCAAGGGGAAACAATGTTTATATTTATACTCATTGGAAAGGAAGAGATTACAAAAGAATAAGCGAGCAAACAATGGAGAATATGCATTGAAAGAAATGGCATGGTGATCCTGGCTGCTTAGAAAAGAAAGCTTTTGGGATGAAATTGATTAGAATCGTGGCAATTTCAGATAGCAGTGCAAGCCGCAAAGATGCTAATTAACTAATCGGCAAAAAAAAGCAGTTTAGGAAGAGATAGCTTGTTAAAGCAATCTGTCCCACCTGCAAAAAAGGAAATTCTGTGGTGTGGGGAAAAGGGAGAGGGAAATACAAAAAATATGAGTTAAGCAGTCAGGTTCAGGATAAGCATTATGCATCTCAGTTTCCTAAGAAATGTATTATTTGTCCAGTGAGTAGAATTGGTTGATTAATGTGAATAATGTGCTACTCTGTCAGGGACTACATATATTTGTGCTGGATCACATATAGTTTATAGATAGTCCTCAACTTCTGATAATAATTGGGACTGGGAAATTCATTATTAAGTGGTACAATCATTAAGGCATCTTACATCCAATTTTACTACTTTTTTTGCCATGGACATTAACTAATTCACATGGTCATTAAGTGAATCATGCAGTTAAGCACATCCATTGACTTCGTCAGAAATAGGCTAAGAAGTTCACAAATTGTGATCATCTGATTGCAGGATACTACAAACCATCATAAATGTGAACCAGTTGCTAAGTGCTCAAATCACTATCACGTGACCATGAGGGTGGTGCAATGGTTGTAACTTTGGGATCACTTTGTTCACTACTGTCATAACTTCAAATTAATGTTAAACAAATGCTCATAAGTTGAGGATTGCCTGTATCTTCTCCCAAAGATCCTGAATTGATACAAGGTTGGACTTCTACAGAGCAGTTGATTTACTGAGAATGTACCGGTGCTGTGGCTGATGTTGATTGTGGTGGAGTAAAATAAAATATTCCCAAGTATTTGAAAACCACAAAGCAAAGAAGCCACCATGTTGCTACTGTTGAAAAATACATAACACTGTATCACTGTATGACAGTTTTACATAGACATAATGATGAATTTGTCCTTTCCATTGATTTAGGTAGATTTTTTACATCTGTAGCAAGCTGATTACTTAAAAATTTAGTGTGACTGAGTATTTAAATCCATGATATTCTAGTAATCCTACATGTATATATATAAATATGTACAGGTAGTCTCAATTTATGACCAAACTTGGGATCAGAATTTCTGTTGCTAAGCAAGGCAGTTAATTGTACAAGCATTTTTTGCCACTTTTGTTAAGTAACTCTAGCTTCCTGCATTGACTTTGCTTGTCAGAAGATGGCTGGGAAGATCACAGATAGTGATCACATGATCCCAGGATGCTGCAACCATCATAAATACATGCCAGTTGCCAAGATACTATGACAGTCATAAGAGTGAGGACCATCATAACTCATTTTACAAATGATTGTAATTTGAGGACTATCTTACACTGTAAAACAACAACCATTTAGAGGTAGATATATATGTTGGATAGATAGCTAAGATAACTGATGCACTGAAAAACAAAACCAGAAAACCTCTTATTCTGTTAGGGTAGTGGTAGGCAACCTTGGCTCTTTTATGACTCGTGGACTTCAACTCCCAGAATTCCTGAGCCAGCCATGCTGAGGGGAAAGGGAAAGGTTTCCAAGCTGAGCCATGCTGGCTCAAGAATTCTGGGAGTTGAAGTCCACAATTCATAAAAGAGCCAAGGTTGCCTATCCCTGTGTTAGGGGATTCAAAAAATTGGAAAAAAATGGGAACTCACTGAAGAACGCTAATGGCACTTTTTCTTAGCCAGGCCTATGTGCTAGACCAGTGGTGGCGAACGTATGGCACACGTGCCAGAGGTGGCACTCAGAGCCCTCTCTGTGGGCACACACGCCATGCCCCAGAGATGGCAACCATCCCTCTTCAACCAGCTGCCCGCTAACTCGCCGAGGTCCCAGCACCCATGCACTCGCTGGCCTCTGTGTGCAGGGGCTGATGGTGTCAGGCAGCAGCCGCCCTGGCCCCTGCCTCACCTTGCCCTATGACAATGGCACTCCCGCCCTGCCTTGCCTCGCCTTGCCTCGCCTCGCCTCACCCCGCAGGACAAGCCTCTTGCCCACCGCCTTACCTGCCAGAGACCCCCTGGATCCCCCCCAACCCTGCTCGCCCCCCACAGGCATGAGCAACATCGAGGTGATCACGCCCACCTTGACCACACCCACCCAATCTGCCATGACCACCACAGCCACGCCCATCCAGTGGGCAGTTGCAGTTTGGGCACTCAGTCTCTAAAAGGTTCGCCATCACTGTGCTAGACAGTAATCTCATTTATCTTCTTAATTTCTTATGCATGTGCTAGTTAATATTTATATTATGCCATTGTGTATTACGTATTGAATTGCCATAAAATAGCTATACTGTATATATTAATAGTTAATATTCAATTGTCAAAGCTTTTGTAAACATTTAAAACCAATGTTACAGGAAATATTTAATTATAAGAATTTAATTAGGAATATATCATTCTTGTTACTTTGTTATAATATTTAATGATACAGAAATTATTGTCTTCAAACAGATCTGAAGAGGGAAGCAAGTATCTGTCACATGCTGAAACATCCTCACATTGTTGAACTTTTGGAGACCTACAGTTCTGATGGAATGCTATATATGGTTTTTGAATTGTAAGTTTTAAATTCCTCATATTTTGTTGAGATTTTCAGTTCTTCTAGAATGCCAAGTATGGTTTTTCACATTGTAATTTGTACATGTGTATATGTGTGCATAAATAAGTATGTGTATTATGTGTAATAATTATTTGCATATTCTGTTCAAATTGTAACTACTATTGTTATGTCTGGCCAGAGGAGAATAATGTGATCAGTTAGGGAAGTGAATAATGTTCTTTAAATTAGTATTGAATACTATACTAAGGGAAAGATACACTTTTATATTGTGTTTTCTTGCCTTATCTTATCCTATCCTATCCCATTCCATTCCAGCAACCCAAATCCCAGCTTACATTTTAAAAGTAATAACAAATAAAGACGAGGTGAGAATGAACATCCAGAAAAAAAACTAACCCACAGAGCAGAAAAACAATAGAGGCTTGATAATCATCCCAAGCCTAGGTTGGGGATCAAAGCTAGGTTTTCAAAGGTTTTCAGAATGAGTGCAGAATATGGTAAGAAAACTAAAAAACCTGAAAATACGAAATAAGGAAAAGGAATACAGGTAGCCAGGTCATGTGTAATGCAATCCAAATTTCAATCTATGTGAGGTTAATGCTAGTCCATAAGGAAAGTAAGATATTGTCAAAAGAAAATAATGTGCAAGTGAATTCATTCTCAAGGAATTAGAAAATATCTTTTGAGAAAACAAAACATTATGGCAAAACATGGATACTGACCCTAACATTGATCAAAGCATGCAAATTTGCAGAAATGTAAATACATCACTTTGCATCTACCAGTATTTGTATGAAGTTTTAAAGAAAAACAGTTTGGTCTATGCTGCTAAAATATTTGAGAGACAATAAAGGTGTTTTTGTCACTGTACGCTTATCTTTAGGAACGATATTTAGATTTTTTTTGTTTTTACTTTGCTTTCTATAATTGCTATGACTTTGTTAACCATAAAATTAAAGTATAAGTATATTTTTATTCATTTCTGTAATATTTCATTAATATACTATTAAATTTGTGTCTAAAAGTTATCTCTCAAGCTGGAACAAATTTTCATATTTTCTATAGAAAGATCACTTTGAAAAGTGTGAATTCAAATAACATAATTATTTCATGGGATTTGTTAACCTCACTAATTGAAACCAATCTGTAGTTAAAAATAGGTTATACTAACATTTGCTATACATCACTATCTCTCCTTGCAAACCATAACACGCACCACTTCATAGACTGCCTTTTGTCTTTTAATCTACTTACCTTTTTCTTTGAGGATATCATTTGTATCATTCATTCACGCATCTCAGTCTTCCCCTTCCTCTTAATCCATTCATTCTTTTTTTATATAATTCTCTATGTGATAAAACTATGTCAGCCTATTATTTTTGCATTATAATCTGTCACTTGTGTATTTAATCTAAATTTAATCTATATTCATTTAATGCATTAAATTTTCTCACATTAACATAGTCAATCTCCCCTTGCTAGCCACCAGCCCTTCCTTATCTACCACCAGTCTTACTGCATTCAGTTGGCCTAGAAGCCATGCCACATCAAACCATAGATTTCTCTGTGGCATGTCAGACTCTATTAGTTCTAAGTGACCCCTTGGCCCAAATCAGGCTCCCGCATGTTCATGCCAGCACCAGGTATGTTGTCCTGCATTCTCTTAGTTCCACTGGCTCTACTGGCACTGGCTCTGGTACTCACAGGACCTCCACCATTGCTTCCAATTCCTCCAGATTCAGTCTTGGGCCTGTTCTCATTGTGACCTCAAGCATCAATGTCTCTGCATCTTAGAGGGCTACTTAAGCATCGTGGGTGTTAGTGGGGACGCTGTCAGGCGCAAGCAACCAGAAACACATGGGGATAGGCCAAAGCAGATTACAAGAATCTCAACAGATATCTGCCTTCCTTTGGGAAAGGCAGATATAGACCTAAGTGTTTGGCCTCAGACATTTCCTCCCCCAAACAAATGGAATGTCTCTTTACATTACTGTTTACTGTTTACAAGAGGAGCCTTCTCCTATTCTGCTGGTGATTCCACCACAGGCAGGACTAAACTAACATCCCTTGCTGATCAAGGACAATCATGACCCTCATTCAAACAAAATCACTTCCCCAAACATAGTAAAAAGTTAAACAAACCTTGAGCCCCTCTTAACTTACACCCACATCCAGATGTTGTTTTGAATGCAAGTTTTTTTCCTTACTGCCTACATAATGCCACTAATATATAGCTACTGTTTCTTAACTTGCCAGGCACATTGCAGAACAGAGGAATTCCACATATATAATCTAGAATTATATATCTAGATAAGAGGCCTAGTCCTAGGCGTGATTTATTTTTCAGGAAATGCTTAATACATTTTTGGGGAAGAAAACCTACATCAATTCTTCATATATATATATACTGTAGAATGTATTTCCTTATGCTGATTATATTTATTTATTTGTTTGTTTATGAAATTGATGTGTCACCCATCTCACTATCCAAAGCAACTCTGGATGACTTACAATAAAATTATAAATAAAATACTTAATTAACAAGAATAAAAAAAGTAAAAACCAAGAGCACAAACGATACGGTAATGGGATCTTCCCTATTAATCCACTATCCACCTCCAGCATAAAGCATTCTTATCAGGGCCCCAAACCAACTGACAGAATCAGCATAAGGCCAAAAAGGTAGGAGGAGCGGACCTTGCCTCCAGAAGTAAGATATTCCAAAGGGGAGGGATCACACAGAAAAGGCTTTACTCCTAGATCCTGCCAACCAAAATCTTTAACTAATGGGGTCCATACATGCCTCTTCTGCCAGATTGGGGCTTGTTACTTCAATATGTTACTTACTGATTTTAAATTGATGTAAATGTGTTCTTTTTTTTTTTTTAAAGTATCTTTGTTAGTAATATTTTGCTGGGTTGAACATTTTCTTTCCACCAAGTTTTGTTTTTAAATTTATGGTTAGTACAATTTTCATTCTAGAAATAATAAAAAAATACCACTAATTATTTGGGAAGAAATTAGTTTTCATTATTAGGAGGACTAATCAAATAATTACTAATATTATGCCATTATCAGAGAGTCGATTTCAGAGCCTAAATAGATATATTCACCTTTTACTTCTATAACTCTACTTCTGAGTATAAATATATAGGATTGTTCTGGCGAATATGATCACTATTCTTAAGGGCTCAGTTTTCTTTCATGTACAGAATTTTTAATATAGATAAAGCATACCAAGATCATCCTATTAATAGGAAGAGGCTGAGATTGGCCCCCCAAATATATTTTAAATAGCAAAAATATAGTGATAATTTGTCACATTTGTAAAATATGAGTGATTGTGAACATATAAACGCATGTGAACATATACATTTTTCAACCAGAATAATCTTTAACATTTTGATTTATAGGAATGTAGGTAAGTTATTTATATTTTTCATATTTTTAAATATTAAAGAAAAGATAAATGTTACTAGCATAAAACTCTTAAACTAACTCCGTATTAATTCTGAGCTGGGCACAAGAAATAGGAATTTGTAAAGTAAACTGGACTTATTTCAGGTCTTATGTCTGAAACAGTATTTTGCTCCTGTGGGTAAATTATGCTGGAAATTAGACAGGAAAAGTGCATCTCTCTTAGTTTGGCTACTTTTTATTCTGTTGATCTGATATTTGCCTAGAAAGAATGTGTTTGGGGAAACATTTTTTTTTTTACAAGATGCTTTTTGATGCCATAAATGCTTTTCTATAGGAACTCTCAGGAATCCATTCTCTTTCCCTGAAATTGCTGCGGTGGTTTCTTAGGCACTTGTATGGGGTGTTATCAATATGTGTATACTTTATTTAACCCAAATTATATGTCTCTAGATGACATAAACAGATCTCTGGAGGCAATTCTGATTTGAATGAGCTTCATTAAAAACTAAAGTTAAACACAAAAAAGACATTCTTAGTGAGGTGAGTGTGAATTCAATTTAATAATTTGTCCAATATTAGTTGGAATTGCACTCCTTCTGACGCATATGCAATATGGGATACTCATTGACTGAACTTTATTACTTAAATGTTCAGAGGATAATGGGTACATTATGTCAGCTTTTCATGCTGCATTAGGCGAAACCATTTCTGGACCATGTGTCAGGCCATGTTCTTGACCTCTCTTGGTTAGGTTACTTATTCTTAATATAGGCCAGTCCATAAAGGTGCTTTAGATCAATCTTCCAAGTAAGTCTTATCTTTCTGCTCAATTGATGTTTTAAAGGTGTATATTTTTAATGGTGGATTTAAACATTTGTTATATTTTTTTAACTCTGTTCTTAATTCTGTCTTACCTAGACGTGAATTAATTTCATGTAGCAAATGAGATGGAAATATTTTTTAAAAAATAAATAAATAAGAAATGCAAACCTGCAGTGTTTATTTTTTTCAAAAATGTAGATGATAACTATCCTTCTAACCATAGTTTTTTAGCAAAGCAATCAGTTCAATTGGAAAATACATGTTTTTAAAATTATATAATTTTAACCTTTAATGTGAAAGAGTAAAACATAACCAAATACAAAAATAGAATAAGAGTTAAAAAATACAGATAAACTGAAAAAAGGGAAATTGTTGAAATAATTGTATATAAAACAGAAACATTGTGTGTGTGTATGTATGTGTATATGTATGTGTGTGTGTGTGTGTGTGTGTATACAAACTTAGAAATATACTTTTGCCATCAGAAATATCTTTTTGCCATTGTTTAAAATTAAATGATGTATCCAGAGTCTATCTTGGTTTCTGTCTGGAATAACATCTTGGGTAACACATTCATTTTAATTTACCCCACTTAAGTAAATTCTTTTTAATATTCTTGTATACCTTAACATTGTTATTCTGAAACAACATACAATTTGTATTTGTTGTTGTAACTCCCAAGTATTTGACCTCCTTTTCAATTTGGAAACCCATAGAAAAAATAAGTTACAACAGCACCTAGTGTCCAAACTAATGTACAAACTAGCTGGGTAAAAAAAAATGAGTTGCACCTCTGGAAGTAGAAAAAGAAATTGAAATTTCTCAGTTTATATTATTCACAACTCCTTTTCAATCAGCAGAGGGCTAGGTATTAAAACAAGCAGCATTCTCATGATCAACCACCACAGAAATTCCAAACTTCAGTTCCATAGGTGCAGGTTTGTCAAAGTAAGTTTTGAACACCCATTAATAAATACCCTTACATTTTAGGAGAAAAAAATCAAAACTTCCCATGTTCCAAACACTTTGGGTTTTTTACTGTACCAATCAACTCAATATCGAAGTTAAACTTTCAAATTGTAGCCCACTAAATGCTGAAAAGCTCCAAAAGAAATACACATCTATCTCTAAAGAAAGCTTCTCTTCTATTAACAATTTTTAAAAAGTGCTTTAGAAATAGGAGGGGGTCAGTTTTAGTGTCCATTTTTCTTCCAACCTGATGTAAGACCAGCCACACAAGTTACTAGGGACCGCAAAATCACTGTTTTGTGGTCTTCTTGCAAGGAATGATCACATGGACAATAAATAAGTTTCTCCCTGCATCTGGAAAACTTCAGATTTTGGGATCCCTTCTGAATCCCAATCAACTTTGGTGTTGTCTCTCATTATTACTGAAGAAGTGCTCAAGTCGCCATTTTTCGCCCAACTGGAAGTCCATACATTTCTACAACTTTGATAAAATGCCAGCTCATATGTAAGATACAAACATGTCTTGCAGCTAGTCACAATTAGGTGTAGGAGAATCTTTCCACTGGAGTAAAGTGCCAGGATATTAAGAGTATCAAGTAATAACTTTCTAAAAGTGCCAATAATCATTTTTAAGATGGATTATTGAGATTCCACAAAGCACTAGTAATCAGAATATAAGCCCTGTTTAAGTTTAAGTTGAGGAAATTAAAATCTCTGCCTTCATATACAATATGTAATTTGAAAAAGAAAATCCAGGGAACTATCCCATAAGAATATTCTTGTATCTTATCAGTCTGTTTAAAATGGTTGTCAATCAAGGACTAATTGTATGTCTCTGTAATTACCAAGATAATCTTGTAGGCAATATTACATATTACTGTGGATCTTTTTATTTTCCATCATATTTTACCAATACTACAATTTATTAAGTTCAAACAGCTTTGTCATTGATTAAATGAAGCAGTTATCTCAGGTGGCACAAACTGAGAGCAATGATCGCAGCCTTCCAGGTGATTTTGGAAACAGTAAATGGCAGAACCCTAACCTGTTCTTCTTGATGTTATTCAATTACATGTTCATTCTGTTTCTGTAACTCAGGGCTTTTTTATCTCATTACAATCATGTGAAGTAGTACCAAAATAGTGCACTATCATGCAGTGATATATATCTTCCTAGTCCAAATATTACTTTACACTTACCCCACCTTTAATATGGGAGAATACATACGGAAGTTAATAATGGATTTCCAATATCCATTCATTTGGGACGGGAGGTTCTGAGAAGAGAAAAGCCAAACTTTTCAGAAATTTTGCATTTAAGAATTTAGAAATGCCAGTAACTCTTTCTATTTGAGACCGTTTCTCCAAAATTGTATTGTGTTTCGAGATGAAATCACTGGTTAGTGATTGCACTATAAAGTCTGTATGTTTTTCTTGTCTTCTAACAATGTACATTTCTGAATATTAACATTACTTTGAAAGTCAGTTTCATGTTTCATAAATACTTTTTCAATACTTTTTGTATGCAGTATGGATGGTGCAGATCTCTGCTTTGAAATTGTAAAGAGAGCAGATGCTGGTTTTGTGTACAGTGAAGCCGTAGCCAGGTATGTGTTCTTATTTTAATTTTGTGCTGGGAAAAATGAATAATAATTAACACTGGTCTGATAGCTAATACTATAAGCAGCACGGATTAAGATAATCAGTCTGGAAAAGCTTTATAGGTAGTCTTTGTTTAGAGACCACAACTGAGACCAGCAACTCAGTTGTTAAGTAAAACCGCGGCTATGTTTATGATCCTACTTCAGCTTTCCTTTGCTTTAAGAACCTACAAAGATAGTAAATAGGATAATTGGTTGCAAAGTTACTTTTTCATCACCATTGTAACTGTGAACCGTTGCTAAATAAGCCAATATGGTATTCTTTTTAAGAAGGTTAGTACATGTTGAGGAAAGAAATTATAACTCGTAATGTTTAAAAAGGCAAAAGATTGTATTTTAATTTTAGCTCTCAGTTATTTTAAATATTTGTGACAAGTTGTCTAAAAAGTTTATAATTAAATTGTACTACTATTATATTCATCATTATCAATTAAACGTCTAAACCTCTAGCTAACAAAAGAACTTAATCAGGGCAAAGTGAAGCACTTTTAAATTAGGAGGATAAGAGGCTAGGATCTGATAACTCCAGTTTTCTTTTTCTAGTTGTAGTTTGCAGAAAATTATAAGAGATGAAGCCAATAGCACTGCCATGTTTGCCTCCTAGCAAGCAATATTCAAAAGCACATTATTTTTAAACATAGGAGTTTCATTAAATAATCATGAATTATTGCAGTAATAGAAAAGTTCATGTGAGACTGTTCTCTTTTAAAACCATCTAAGTAGATAGATAAACTACATTTAGTAACAAATTGTGTAAGTTCATTTGTATTATATTAATTCAATGGAAGATATATTAAATTTAACTAAACAGGTGAGGGATTGAATTCTTTGATTTCATAGCTAAATTTTGTGATATACTAACATGGAGGGGTTTTTTTGTCTGTTTTACAAAATAACACGAGGATATTGTGAGTTTATGCTCTCTTAATTTTATTTATGTATTCATAGATTCTAAATAGAATCTTTAATTTTCTTTAGCAATATATGTTTTCAGTGTTCTAGAGCAGGGCTTTTCAACCTTTTCACCCATTGTACCACTTTTAGGATATGGCAATATCCGAGTACCACCAGTTGCCTAGCAAGGTGTCAAAAACTTGATGACCCAAAAAAAAGAGAGAGAGAAAAAGTGATAAAGTACAGGTAGTCCTTGACTTACAACAGTTCGCTTAGTGACTGTTTGACGTTACAATGGCACTGAAAAAAAGTGCCCCCCAAGCCACAGCCGAGCAAGACGCCTGCCCACCCGGCGGCGCTCTTCCTCCTGTCCGAGGTTTTCATTGTTGTGAACATTGTTGTTGAGGATTGGCAGCGGAGGTGGGGTGAGGGTGTTTGGTTTTTATTCCGCCCGCCTGCTGGGTGGTTACAGCAGGTTTTGGTCACTTCACATGACCCTGGGACACTGTGACCATCATAAATATGAATCAGTTGCCAATCATAAGACCCTGGAGATGTTGCAACATTCCAACTGATTGGTGCTTCTTCAGGGCTCAGCAGAAGCACCAGGATCAGCACCGAGCTTCAGTTGGAGCCTGGCACTGATCCTGGCACTTCCACTGAGCCCTGACAGCCCCGAAGAAGCGCTGATCAGCTGGAATGCAGCACTGATCATGGCGCTTCCGCTGAGCCCTGACAGCCCTGCAGCTCCAGCCATCTCTCGCTCATGCTTGTGCGGTGCTGCCACCAGTTCAGCTCATTCCCCTCCCCAGCTACCAATTTCAATTTCAATTTATTTGATTTATATACCGCCCTTCTCCCTTGCGGGACTCAGGGCGGTGAACAGGCACATTAATAAAACAGCGATACCATAATATTTAAAAATATTAAAAACTATTAAATATTAAAAAATATTAAAAACCACTTTGCTAGGATGGTCACGTACCACCTGCCAGGTGCCAATGTACCACAGGTGGTACCCGTACCACTGGTTGAAAAGCCCTGTTGTAGAGCAGTGGTTCTCAACTATTTCGGCACCAGGGACCAGTTCTTTAGAGAGAGGTTTTTCCGTGGACCAAAGGGAGAGTAGTTTGGTGGGCTGCCTGCATCCCACAGATAGGGCTTTGCTTGTTTATGCAGCCGTTTCTGGCATGCCATGGACTGGTGCCGGTCCACGGACCGGGGGTTGGGAACCCCTATTCTAAACTAGAGTAGATATGGACCATAAGGGCCCCCAGTGGGCCATACTGTATTTCTAGGTGACCTTATGTTGCTGTTAAGTCATTTTATGTGTTTAAGAATGTTGTTTGCTATTACACAATTATGGTTGCATAGAGTTGTTTTCGTTAGCTACTGCATACTTCATCTTTATAATATAAAGATATATTGTATAGTACAATACAATATGACTAAGATACAGTGCAGATGGTAAAGTAGCTTTTTTCCAGGTGTGACTATGATGGGGATTAGAGAGGTAAATGAGGCTCATAGGGGGACCATAAACAAACAGTGTTTGAGAATTGATAGTGTGTCCTAGAATAATTATAATTAATTCTTTTTAAAAAGGGACATATCTGAAATTTTGAAAAAATGTTAGGATGTTGTTATAAAGTGATTATCATGGGAGAGGTTGCTGAAAATGGCTGTTATGACAAACATATCCAATCACAAAAAAATTATTTATCAGAAGGCATGCTGAGAAAATTGTTCCTTTCTACCCTCACTTGCACGAAACACTTAAACTTCAATTTGGTTTTCTCTAACCAAGTCAGCCCAATCTATATAGTACGAAAACTCTCAGGTTTGTAACTGGACAAAATAGTTCATTGTAGGGCAAAACCTTTTTAACCCAGGTACCCATGGATAACTTACAGAATGCATCCAAAACCTGGGATACATAACACTATGGAATTGAAATTTGGCAAATTTTATAGAACAATTTATGACATAAAAATTATCATAAGGTATTCTATGACATAACAAAATGTCATAAAATATTTCCTGTAGTCAGCTCCTGATGTTTAACTGTTCTAATGCAGTCAGTTACTCTCAAGGCAAATCCATCTCTGAATATCTCATTGAATTTTTAAGAACTTTTCCAGTACATTTGAAGTTCTGCCATTGAGGAATTCTATTTAATTAGAAAAAAAATCCCTTTATTATTCAAAGATGAGATGGGGAACCAGAGGTATCGGGAAAGGGACTCATAGGATTTATGTTACTTATTGTTGGGGAATAGAATACTTTTTTTAATTTCTGTATATATATCTTTTGCACATCCTCCCCTGGGCTAAAAAGCTCTTCAATCAGTAAATCATGTTATGCTTACCTGTTCCCTGGATTAATGTAATGAGGTCTAGTAGAGCTGCCTTTGATGATGATATAGAAGCTACAGCTAGTCCAGAATGCAGCAGTGCAGGCAATGATGGGAGCAGCATGTTATGCCCATATAACTTCATTGCTTCACTGTTTACCAGCTGGCTTCCAGGTGAAATTCAAGATGCAGTTTATTAACTGTAAAGATCTGCATGATAGCCAGTCCGTCAGATAGCCAGGTCCCATCTCGATTGTTTCTGCCCACCCGGCCTCCATTCTTGGCAGCAAAAGCTTTTTGCAAAGATGGCAAAAAGCTTTACAAATGGAGGGAAGGCTTTGGTGTTTCAGGCCTTCCCTCCGTTTGCAAAGCCTTTTGCTGCAGATCTCGTCCAAGCCTCCGTTTGCAGAGAACAGAGGCCTAAAGTACTGTGAAATCATGTGAGATCATTAGTGCGAGATCTTGCACTACTGATCTCGCATGATCTTGCAGTACTTTAGATCTCCATTCTCTGC